CCTTCCTTCCTTCCTTCCTTCCTTCCTTCCTTCCTTCCTTCCTTCCTCTTAGAAATTGAAAAAAATAAACATCCCTTAAGCTGAATTTATTGCCACATTCCACCCGAAATACCTCTCTCTCAACGACCTTAATCCGGATGCTTCTCTGCAGGACTTCGTACCCCGTGGGGCAAGGGCTGCTGCACCAAGGAAGATCCCTGGTCTCGTGTGATGGAAACACGTTAAGCTCAGGCTTGTGTCCAGAACCTCACAATAGGACAACTCTCAGTCAAGAGCAGATTTTGTCCTAGGCTGCAGGGTATGGCCCCGGGCCTTTCCACGGTCTATTTTTAAAGTCCCCTGAGCTGCTGCCCATTAAGCAGACTTCGTGCTAATGACTTCCTCGTGCTCATCCTGTCGTTTACAACCCAACTCTTCCTTTTTTGCCTCTCCACCCTGACCTGTCAATCAGTTTCAGGGAATGACTCATTCTAATAGTGCACATGTGTGTGTGAGGGAGGGAGGGGGAGAAATTGTGGTTGGAGAGACGATGCTTCCCCCTAACTTAACTAGAGTACCTTTTCCGGAGTCTGCCCTATACAGGCAGTCTTTGCCTTATGGCCACAGCTGAGCCCAATATTTCTGTCGCTAAGCAAGACAACTATTAAGGGGAAACTACTAGAGCTGTGCTAGAGAGTCCAGGCAGTCCTTGACTTAGGACCACGGTCGAGCCCAAACTTTCTGTCTCTAAGCCAGAGATTTGCCACGTGAATTTTGCTCCATTTTACAACGTTTCTTGCCACGCTTGTTAAGGGAATCCTTGCAGTTGTTCAGTTAGTGACACAGTTGCTGAGCGAATCTGGCTTCCCCCCCACTGACTTTACTTGTCAGTCTTTCTTTCAAATGTAGGCTTTTGGTTTTTTTTCAATTTTGCTTGTTATTCTCTAGGATAAAACAATATCTATCTGTCTGTCTGTCTGTCTGTCTGTCTGTCTGTATATCTATCTATCTATCTATCTCTATCTCTCATCTATCTACCTATCAAACTGTCTCTCTCTCTATCTCTCATCTCTCTCCCTCTCTCTCTCTCTCTCTCTCTCTCTCTCTCTCCATCCATCATCCATCCATCTATCATCTTTGTCAATCTCTCTCTCTCCCTCCCTCCCACCATCCATCATCTATCCATCATCCTATCTATCTATCTATCTATCTATCTATCTATCTATCTATCTATCTATCTATCTATCTATCTATCTATCTATCTATCTATCTATCTATCTATCTATCTATCAATCTATCAATCTATCAATCTATCTATCTATCTATCTATCTATCTATCTATCTATCTATCTATCTATCTATCTATCTATCTATCATCTTTCTCTCTCATCCATCTATCAATTCTATCTCTCTATATCTCTAATCTATTTATATCTATCTATCTATCTATCTATCTATCTATCTATCTATCTATCTATCTATCTATCTATCTATCTATCTACCTACCTACCTACCTACCTACCTACCTACCTACCTACCTACCTATCATCTATCTATCAATCTATCAATGTATCTATCTATCAAACTCTCTTTCTCTCTCTCTCTATCTAAAACTCACTTAAAATCTGTCTTGCTTCTGAGTGGAAATTTTGGGCTCAAAATTGAAGGCTACCTGCAGTGCTTGTTTAGGCTGCTGCCACTAAGAGAAATGAAAGGTATGAATCTGTGCCAGGGAGACCCACCGCTATAAAAGACTTTTCTTTTTGATGTCTCCCCCATTCATACATCACGGGCAAGCTGACAGATGCTTGGAATTGAAAAAAAGGCCTTGCTTGAGTTTTTTTTCTCTTTTTCCTTGCTGTTTGTCTATGGAGATTCTCAACCCTCCAAGACACGGTTGTCCCAAAAGTGCTTTTAAAAAAAAGGCAACTGGACTTTCTTGTGTGTGTGTGTGTTTTTTTCCCTTGAAAAATGTTTTGCTTCTCATCCAAGAAGCTTCTTCAGTTCAGTTCTTCAGAGCTTGGATGAGAAGCAAAAAAAAAACCAACCAACCAAACAAACAAACCAAGAAAGTCCGCTTGTCTTTTGGAAAGGCCCCTTTGTGTCCCTGTGCTGTTGTTCGCAAGTTCATTTGTCTCCTCTTTTGGTTTTGACTCCTTTGAAGCAAACTTACCCCAGAGGGCCATGAAAACGGAGAAGAAGACGGTAGCCGGGTTATCAAAGAGGTGGCTGGCACGTGCGGTCCCACAAGCCGTGCTGAGGTTCCAGTAGTCACACGTCTTGTCGCACAAAGGGCACATGGTGAAGGCATTGCGTTGGTCACACATCTCCTTGCTAGGAAGAGCAGAGGCCAAAAGGTCAGAGAGCAGCTTCGTGCAGGGAAAACTTTTCCACAGTTGTTAAGCAAATCGCTTCAGCCGTTAAGTGAATCACAGGGTCCCTAAATGAATCTGGCTTCCCCCCCCCCCCATGACTTTGGCTGGGAAGATTGCATAGGGCGGTCCTATAACCTGTTCTGTCCCCCGTCCGACTCACACCCCCAACCAGTCAGCCGAGGGCTGAAAAACTGCTCAGCACAGTCAAATACAAATGAACACTTGGCAGCAACTTCGTGGCTGCCTGCCAAAGCCTTTACTGATAATACAAAACCAAAACATACGATAAGTCCAGGATAAATTGCCGGAGTGCTTGCAACAGGATATTCAGCAAAATTGTCCGTCACAAGAGTTTCACACGCCACACCCCTTGCTTATATAGCCAGTGGGGTGTGGCCCAGTGACTCAGCTGAAATCTCTGGCACGGCGTTTCAGCTGCTGCGCACGCTTGTCCCTCCGACGCTGGCGTGGATCCAGCCAAGACGTATCCTCTTTGGAGTCCGATACACCTGGCTCCTGGCCGATCCCAGAAGCACCTGGCTCCTGGCCAATCCCAGAAGCACCGGGCTCCTGGCCAATCCCAGAAGCACCGGGCTCCTGGCCAATTTCCTCTCCGTCGGAAGGCACCGAAGGCCGCACCAGAGGGGAAGGTCCTGGAGAGGGAGGCCTGGCCATCTCCTCTCCTTCATGTTCA